ATTTATTATATATCAATAGTCAAAGTCGCATTTTTCTCGTGTTTTATTGGTTGAGAGCAAATCACGTGAGAGTGACGAAATTAGGCTGTCTCCCTCGCAAGGAGACAGCCTAAGAGGGAGATAATACGTTATCGACCGGCGAATAACAAAAAAGATCACGTGCGCCATCACGTGAAGATGCGACCTTTGGACATGCCTAGTACGTAATTAAAACTTTCGCTTTAAGTAACTGCAGTGTAGCCAGTGTTTAATATAACGTTTTAACAATAAAATATTTCATGTATTTACGTTCATTTGTTCTTTAATTTGTTGTTTCTTTGACTATTGATATATAATAAAACACTTATTTACTGAGACCTCGGGAAAGCAGTGTGTTTTGTCGACCGTCGACCGTCGATGTTTCCCTCGGCTCCGTCGACCATCGACGGTCTCGGATCCACAAAACACACTGTTTCCCTCGATCTCAGTAAATAAGTGATAAATATTTATTGAGGGTAGATATATGAATATTCAGAATATTCAGGGTAGATATATGAATATTCAACTATGAATATTTGTAAAGAAATTTGAATGAATGCTGATGAGAACATGAAAGCCTAGTTTTGTTTGGAATGGAGTTTCATATATATATATATATATATATATATATATATATATATATATATATATATATATATATATATATATATATATATATATATATATATATATATATATATATATATATATATATATATATATATATAGAGAGAGAGATATATATATATATAGAGAGAGATATATATATATATAGAGAGAGATATATATATATATATATATATATATACAGGGTGTATCAGAAAAAACTGAACAGATTTGAAATTGCTCTCAATTTCGCAAAACACCTATTTGTATCCGGGTTTTTATATATATAGCTTCTTTGGGTACTTATAATGTAGAATAATGAAAAAAATTTCTTGAACTCAAATTTTGTGAACCAGGGGGGTGTGTCTTTTCCAACAAATTAAAAATGGCTCGCGCACAAAATTTAAAAGTTGTAATCATATTTTGAGTTAATAGATGGAAACTTTGTCGGGTTTTTAATTACTGTACAAAATTTCAGACAATTTGGTTTAGTTTAAGCCGTTTAACTATTCATTTTATTCTAAAAAATCAGCCTTTCGCATGCTTAATTAATGCATTTACCTAATTTGCATATTGCTAACATATGCAAATTAGGCAAATGCATTAATTAAGCATGCAAATAGCTGATTTTTAGGAAAAATGTAACTTTGCGAGAATAGTTAAACGGCTTAAACTAAACCAAATTCTCTAAAATTTTGTACAGTAATTAAAAACCCGACAAATTTTCCATCTATTAACTCAAACTATGATTACAGCTTTTAAATTTTGTGCGCAAGCCATTTTTATTTTGTTGGAAAAGTCACCCCCCCCCCTGGTTCACAATATTTGAGTTCGAGAAATTTTTTTATTATTCTACATTCTAACTACCCAAAGAAGCTATATCTATAAAAAACCGGATACAAATCGGTGTTTTGCGAGATTGAGAGCAATTTCAAATCTGTTCAGTTTTTTTTTATACACCCTGTATAGGTTTTAAGTTGTGTGCTGCGGAGTAAAGCTAGGGGCTTTTAATAATAAATTGGCAAGTCAATGATAACATTTAATAGGCATACAACGAGTGTTTAAAATCATCAGTGTCGTTTGGCACATGTTCGCTTCTGCCTGCTTCAGTTCTGAAAAATACTTTACCATCAATAGTCTATACAGGACAGTCTTTGTGTTCTTCTCGGGCTTGCTGTAGGTGTCTGAGATTACAATAGGTCAAATCTTCGTTTATATACAATTTTTTTCCAGCAAGTTTTATCTTCTTAATTTTCAATACCTGTACTTTACTTCGATAGGCCATAAACTTCACTATCATGGCACGTGTAGCATTCATTCTTGGCCGACCAACTCTGTAAACTCTGTCGACGTCGCTTTCTTTAAACGTCAAGCCAAGCTGTTCGTTAAGAAAGGCCAAGGTTTTCTTCATACAATCTTCATCTTTTTCTTCGGGAATTCCGAAAATACGAATATTTGCTCTACGAGAGCACTGTTCGTTCTCATTACACTTTCGCCGGACAATCGCCAATTCGGATTTTAAGTCGCGAATTTCATTACGCAGAGGAGTCACCATTCTCCGTTGTTAAAGGTATTTGAGAAATTGGTATATCAACAGCTAAAATCCTTTATGACAATAAACAACGTTCTTGTCGACCAGCAGTCGGGTTTCCGTTTTCAACATTCCACGGAAACTACTCTGCTTAGTTCCACAAATGAATGGTTGTATAATATGGATAGGGGCCTCTTTACCGGAGTCCTATTCTTGGATCTTAAAAAGGCATTTGATACTGTTGATCATTCAATTCTATTAGCTAAATTAGAAAAGTATGGCATCCAAGGGAGAAGCCTTGAATGGTTTAAATCGTACCTCAAGGACAGAAGGCAGGTTTGTTCAATCAATGGTAAGAAATCGTCTGCAAATGATACTAAATGTGGGTTCCACAGGGATCGAATCTTGGTCTCATCCTTTACTTCTTTATATTAATGATCTCCCAAATAGTTTGAAAATGTCAAAACCTTCAATGTTTGCTGACGATACAAATCTAACCTGTGTTGGGCAAACCTCGAGTGAAATTGAAACCAAACTTAATGAAGAGCTTGAGAATGTCCACCGATGGCTAACAGCAAATAAATTTACTTTAATTAAACGATGAGAAAACCGAGTTCATGCTCATCGACTCAAGATCACGTCTTGCCTGTGTCCATAATAGCCCAATATTGAAACTAGGACACAGACATATAAAACGTGTATACTAAAAAAAGTCACTAGGTATGGTCCTCGATGAGCAGTTGAAGTGGGACAAACACAATGAAGTTCAATGCAAAAAAAATTCAATTTCGTTCCTGCACGCACATTAATTAATTAAAATGTATAATGCCTTTGTCTTGCCTCACTTTAATTACTGCTCTACAATACGGAACGATGGATCATGTACTATAATTAATAAACTTTCAAAATTACAAAGGAGAACTGCGCGTGTAATTACTTCAAGTACATACGATATTCGTTCTTCTCAAATCTTGAAAAACCTTAATTGGAAACCAATTGAAGCTGACTTAAAAAATAGAGAAACTGTTATGACATTCAAAGTTTTAACCGGGCAAGGACCGGATTATTTACAGCAACTATTTACTGAGTGCAATAACAATAATTATACCTTAATTTAGTATTGTATCATAGTAAATAGGATTTCGTTTTTATTACACGGCCCTTCGAAAACCAGTACCTCTTGTAAATATAAAGTTAGTTTTTAATAGTTACTGAATAGGCTACCGTTTGTAAATATTTTGGTTAATAATTAATAATAATAATAAACTGCTCTCCAAGATGTCTTCAGCGAAATCGTCATCAGTACTCTGAGAGAACTCCAAAAGTTGCCCACCATGATCATCACCATCATCATCATTACCTTCATCATCATCTGTTTTCCATCGCCTTCGATCATCAAACAATCAGGGTAAATAGGTTATCTAACAACATGAAGTCTCAAGTCGGAACAAAGACCAACAGATGATTAACACGAAGTGGGGAAATAGGATTCTCTCAACCTGAACTTGGAGAAGTTTTGTATCTTTATTCTTTCAGCTAGTTGAAAGAAAATTTTTACTTGCACTGTGTGATTCCTAAAACCTTGATCTACATTGGACCCACCTTGTTCAAGTTATTACAACAAATGATTACCTTACCCAGACCGAGTTCTTTACTGTTTATGAACTGACATCACTGCTCTTCGAAAATATTAGCAACCATAAGTCATATAAAACTTCTCCGAGTTCAACGTCAAAGAAACCTATTCACCCACATCGTGTTAATCATTTGTTGGCCTTTGTTCCGATTTGCGACTTCATGATGTTAGATAACATATAGCCTGCGTGGCAGGCCCTCAGTTTTATGGGGGGCCAGATTTGCAACGGGCAGGATTTTGGCGGGCACGGGGGAGGATTGAGGGCCTGCAGGAAAGGCCACCTTCCATGACTACACGCCGTTCAGATTCTGAACGGTGAATACGACCACCTGACTGGTCAATACAAGACAGTGAAAAACCGTAGTATTTGTTGATTTCAAAATTGTTGCTTATCAACTTTCTAATCTTAAATTAACAGCTTTCTAACCTTGAACTGTTGAACATCGTGGCTATCTTTTCTTGTTCAGCAGCGATACAAAAGATGATCTCACCGGCCAGTCGTCAGGAAATAGCACAGGATACCGCAAACAATTAACGTGCATGGATGTAAATACTGATTCTGATGATGTACTATATGAAAGTAAGCTCAACATCGACGGTTTGAAAACGTGTGCATTTGCGACAGCAGTCCAGTCACCAACAACAAGATTTATAATTATTTGGACTGTCCTTTCGTTTGTAGGGTTCAGTTCGGGTCACAACATTCCTATTTGGATGAACTAATACCACTTTTAATTTAAGTGACGAACGCCCTTCACACGTTCTCAAACCACCGTCGATGTTGAGCTTACTTAGTACATCGTCAGAATCAATATTTACATCCACGTTGTTTGCAGTACCTGTGATATTTCCTGATGACTGGCCAGTGAGATCATCTCTTGTATCGCTGCTGAACAAGCATTTTTTACGCGCAGATTTCGATTCAGTTCTAGAGATAGGCCTACTACCTGGAGAACCTCGTGGAGAACAAACGCGATTTAATTTTCGGTTGAATGGACTAGCGCCACGGTGAGGAGCAGGGTGAGGAGTTAACAGTTTACGCTTTCCTGATGCATCTACATCTTTGGGCTGGTAATAGTGTTGAAACTTCTCGTGTAATGTATTAACTGAAAATTTTAATTCCGTTACAAGCTCATGCACTTTTAGAATTTTTCTTGAGCATGTGTACGTTGCAGATTTTGGTTGAATGATATTCAGAGTTTTTCAACGGTAAGCCAACTTTATCACATAAATCTAAGAGTACAATTCCGAAAGATTGTTTTCTTTATGACAGTTTGGACAGGTTTTTACGATAAAACATGCACAATTTTACTAAAATTGCGGCCGAATTGCTGTTTAAAACAACATTTACAGACTCTGCAATAATCGACCGGAGCAGTTCGCGACATTGTTTAATGTTTGATTGACATGTTTACATGCAAGCGAAGATATTTCTTTCGCCCAAGGGTTTTCCCCAACTGCAGCTGAATTTCTATTGGTCAATTTTAGAAAGCCATTAATTATGTTATGACTTGGGCGTGTAGTCATGAAAGGTGTTCTTTCCTGCAGGCCCTCAATCCTCCCCCGTGACCGCCGAAATCCTGCCCGTTGCAAATCAGGCCCCCCATAAAATTGAGGGCCTGCCACGCAGGCTAGATAACATATTTACCCTGATTGTTTGAAGACCGAAGGCGATGGAAAACAGATGATGATGATGGACAACTTTTGGAGTCAGAGCTGATGACGGTTTCGCTGAAAATATTTTCAGAGGCATAGTCAGGTTGGGGGCCAAGAGGCCAGCCTGCGAAAATTTATTCTATAAAAAGAAGTGAAACATGGCCCCACCTAGGTTTTTGCTGCCGCCTCCGCCCCCCCCCCCCCTTCTAACCAAAAATCGTGGATACGCTTCTGGAGATTTTCGGGAGGGCAGTGATGTTTTGAGGTCTTTTGATAAAGAGCAAATTACTCAGTCTGAGTCAGGTAATCTGTAATCTGTTGATTTTGTTCCGATTTGGGTCTTAGTGCTCTTGGATACCAAATGTAAATTCACTTGAGTAATGGACAGTGTGTTGCGGAAAAGTTGTCAATGCTAACTAGATAGGACAGAAACTCACCTTCTCTTGGTATGCGCTCGTTGTATGTGCAAGTTATTATAATTATATATTTAGATTGCAAACGTCACAAAGTGCTGTTGTATAACAATACCTCCTATAACCTCCTAAGCTGTCTCCTTCTTCTTTGTTTTTTTATAAACTAAGAATGATGTTTGCACAAATTGGATTGGCGAAAAGCCGTTTGAGGCTGAAATTAGTTGATACAAAACAGAGTCGTAATGAAGTTCCAGTCAGCGTAACCAATTGGTAGGTTGGCCCATGAGGTTTGGACTAACCAACTTTGACTCCATAAAATTGACGAGGAAATTTAAAGATTTACAAAATAAATAAGATTGTTAGTTATCGTAATTTCTGTTTAGCACAACCCCCTCTCCACCCCCGGCCCTCTCCTGTAAGCAATTAATTATTAAATGTATAAAATCGTGAAGCATGAAAGTATTGTATTTGAAAGATAATTATGATATTTGACTGAAAATCAGAGTACTCGTTGTTGCATACCTAAAGAGAATCAAACGTGCAAACAGATTCTTTGTGCATATATATTAGAAACACCCCACCATCCTTTCCCCCAGAAACGGATTTTCATATTTTCATTCGGGTGGGGGACAAATATCTGTGAGGGGGGGGGGGGGGGG